TCTATGACAACTTCATGATTAAGAAAAATTCAGAAACAACTCAGAAGATCCCCCATCAATCCACTTTACCTCACTCTGGCAAGACTGACTGCAGTGGAGCCACCATCTCTGCTGCTGCTATGCCATACTCCCATCCTACCAGCTAGCCCCCTCACTGGTAMGACGCGTGATAACCCACCATCTTTTCCACTCACCTTATTCTCTTTTTTTCACTACAGAAGCTTCAAAATAGGCAAAATTCAGAAAACAACTCAGAGACCCCCCCATCATATCCACTTTACCTCACTCCGGCAAGACTTACTGCAGCAGAGCCACCATCTCCACTGCTGCTGTGCCCTATTTCCATCCTCCAAGCTAGCCCCCTCACTAGTAGGACGCTTGATATCCAACCAGACTCTGTCTGTAGATAATTCCTCATTTGTACACGCCATTCGGTTATCCAGGTCAGGAGCTATATAATCTCCCTCAAGATCAGAAGAAACGTCATTTCTCTCCAAAGCTTGTTAATCTCTCTTTCTCCCTCTTTTCTCGCTCTCTCTTGCACTTTTGAGTTGTAATAAGTTCGGAAACTAATCAACACACAGGGTACGGCCTCTCCGCTTACCCAACTGACTCTGCGTTGTCGTGACATGGGATCTGGTAAGTCAAAGTCTGCGATGCCCGGGAAAAAGGGGTTACTTGATCAGTCAAGTGCAGGGCCACCCATGGTCGGATAAGCAAGCTATGCGATTTCCTGTGGCAAGTCTTGCCCTGCCCTGCTGTGCAAAAGACAATGCAAAGCAGCTACGGCCTCTTCCTCTCAGGCGGCCATGCCGGACTCTGCCTCGAAGCTTCTTGATGTAGCTCTACCCCTTTTGGGGCCTTCCAGATGCAGTGCCCACCAAGGTAATGAAGATGGCGTCCACCATAGCCAGGTCTTGACACTCCCCCTTCCTAGTCCTCTTCTTCCTCCTCCTCCAGCTCAAGCTCCTCCACCATACCCAAGGAGGAGAGTTGGGCACTCCTCTTCCCCACAACGCTGCCTCAACCAGCACTGCTCCAGCCAGTGCTCCAGCAGCGTGTTGCCAAACTTGCACACAGCAAATGAGGAGCACTTCGCTCCTCCTGGAGATGTAGCGGCCAACTTGCCTTTTGGTCGGTGACTTCCAGGCCGCGCGGCCTCCAAGCAATCAGCACCTCCTCCCTTTCGGAGGGAAACATCATTGCAGACTCTGATATCGCCCGTACAGGCCCTAGACTAGACTACTTGGACTGGTGCCTACCTGCTATTTGAGTGTTTTTCCCTGCTGCTCTAAGTGTCGTGGGCTTACTCTCGCTACTTGAGTGTTTTCCCCGCTGCAACCCTCATGTCACTCAAACAGACACGCAAACCTGGAAGCATGCACACACACAGACTTATAAAACTCAGCAGAAAGGGGGAATCTCAGCAAGGCATTCATTCTTGCGGCAAAACTCATAAATGAGTTGTGCTTTCAGTCTGTGTTTGGGCAGGTACTTGCAGGTATTCCAATGGGAACAAATGCTGGCCCATAAATTTCTAATCTGACGCTATATTGGGATGAAGCACGCTTTGTTGATGACATTCGTCAACATGATCTTCAAGCCGCTCGGCAATACGCCTTCATTGATGATGTTCTTTCATGGGGGCAATTACCTCCTCCTCCAGAGCACTATGGGCTTGAGTGGAAGGAAACTGCAATGACAGATGGCCTATATACCGTTTTAGGTATGCATCTACGGGTCCGTTCTGGTGGCTCGCTTCGCATGAACGTGTTTGATAAAGCCGCTGCTTGGGATTTTCTTGTAGTTTGTTATCCAAGTGCGAATTCCAGCATCCCTTCCCATCAACCGACAGGTGTGTTCACTGGACACTTGACCAGATTTGGACAAATCTATAACAATTGGCAGGACTTCTGAACTGCGGCAGCCACACTTACTTGTTGCATGCTTTCTCGTGGGCATTCCCCACCAAGCCTTGCTAAGGGGTGGACTTGCTACATGTGCTCTCGCCAACGTCGCTATCCTACGCATGTGACGCGCTTCTCTCAGTGGTCCCGACGCATGCTGCAAAGGTCCCTGCTCCTCCGACAACCACCACCCCACTGGTTCTTCCAGTTTATCGTCATTTCTTAAGCTAACCTGAACACTTACATTGCCCTGACTATTGCTCTTACCGAGGAATCTGATGCCCTAATGAGGACGGTGAGATCATCTGTGAACATTATCACTGCTGGGAATTGGATATGGTGGGGTGAACCAGTATTAAGCTCGGGAAGTTTGTGAATTGAGGGGTCCTTGCGCAAAAACGATGCTATGGCTTCCATTACGAACAAAAAGATCGGCGAGGCTAGGGGATCGCCTTGCCTCACTGACCGGGAAATATGATAACGGTCAGATAGCAACCCTTTAACTCGTACACATCCTGATCCATCATTGTAAAGGACTCTGACCCACTTTCTGAAGTTGGGTCCCACTCCCATTCTCACCATGCTCACATCCAGAAAGGCCCAATTCACTTGGTCATAGGCCTTTTCGAATTCAAAGAACAGATTGCGGTATTCAGTCTCTCCTCCTTGACTTTCATTGCGGCTTCATTTAAAGTGAGGACATTGTCTAGTATATACCTCCGTGGGATGAAGCCGGCTTGGTCTATGTGGAAGCATTTGTCTGTGAGATCCAGTATCCTTAGAGCTAGGGCTTTAACCATAATTTTTTAGGCGAGGTTAAGTAGTGAGATTGGCTTGTAGTTCCGGATGTCCTCCCGGTCCCCCTTCTTGTATAGAAGGGTCACCACGCTACTGCTTAGAGATTCTCCCATTCCGCCCTTTTCCCAGCTGTCCTGATAGAAGTAGAGAAGGTCAGTTCCCATCAATGATCTATAAGATTGGATTCTGCAATCCTCAACGCTATTTCCAATTATTGTTTCCTTGCCTTTCTAGCATACCCTCACCGTGGTGGAGAGGGTGTTCTGACCCCCTGATAACTCTTTGAGCCCTTCTATTGAGTTCGATTGGCTGTTATTTTCGCAAAGAAGTATTTGGTTATTGATTCGCTCAGTTCGTAATTTGTCACTCATGCTCTTATTTGTAAACCTTTCAATTCCCATTGTCTCCATAGAGCCAATTCTTCTCTTGCATGTTCAAATGTGGTCGAGTAGAGGGTTAAGGAGGGTTGATCTATAAGATTGGATTCTGCAATCCTCAACGCTATTTCCAATGATTGGTTCCTTGCCTTTTTATCCCTAGCCAATTTCCTAGACAAACGGGCTACCGATTGTGATAGTGATAGGCAGTTGTCTTGAAACCATTTCCATCTGTCTTGTCCCTCTAAGAACATACCTTTCGCGTTCTGCCAGCAGTTTTGAACTCCTTCTTGGAAGGATTTGCTTAGGAGCAGGGAGTTGTTTAGCTTGTGGAAGCTAGATCCTTTAGTGATATATTTGTCAAAGTTGAAGATTAGCTCGATTGGTTTGTGGTCCTGCATAGGATGCTAGTGCAAGGATGTCGGTCTCTTTAATGGTTCCCATTAGACTCTCAGAGGTGAGGAAGTAGTTGATCCGGGAGAAGGTTGTGTGTTGTACGTGGTTCTTTTTTACTAGCGATAAGGCTTTCCTGCTGGGGTGTAGGATCCGGAATGGGTCCATCAGATTGTGGTTCAACATAAGTTTGAGCATAGGTGCTGCTTCTTGGGTGGCTTAGGAGGCTGCTGCCCTAGAGATCCTGTCATTATTCGGGTCAAGGGTGGCGTTCCAGTGCCCTGCTATGATGCATGCTTTGAGCGGTGGTACGAGCTGTCCAACAGTTTGTATGAATTCTGCTCTTTCTGTTGGGTTATTGGGTGCGTAAATGTTGATGATTCTAATTTTTTCTTTCCATTTCATATCCAATATGCACGATCTCCCCATGTCACTGTCTGCATCCTTTCCTATCACTAGTCCCGCAGTGTATAGTCTTGAGGAATTAGGGATTAGGATCGCTTTGCCTTTCGTGCTAGAGGTGTTGTCTGAGGCCCATATTTCATCCTCTATTCCACCTAGCCTTCTTGTGAAAAATTTCCTTATTGTTGTGTTCCTATGAGTTGGTTAGATGTGTCTCCTATAGGAGTATGATATCAACTGGTTTATTTGAGTAGTCTTTGAGACCTTTGATTATGTCATTTCACTTTTCCTCTTTGGTGATAATATTGCCCAGCCCGTTCACATTCCAACTACGAATTATAATACCTTGTGTTCTCCAATGCATTTGCTCACTCCTCTCATTAGCTTCCTTCCTCAGCTGGTCCATAATCTAACTTGTCATATGGTCGTGGGAGAGTCGGACTAACCGATCTAGGTGGCCCCGGAGCCCCCAGTCTCCATTGACTTCGCACCATCAGGGGAGTCCGTCTGAGTGTGCGTCAGGGAATCCTCCAACCTATATTCACCTACGCTATCGCTGCCACCTTTTGCTGATGGTGTCTCCGCCTCTTGTTCCTCCTTCTCCATATCCCATTCGTCTTCACCCTCCTCCATCTCTTTGTCAAAACATTCATTTTTTTAATATATTTTCATGTCAATTGCATAAGTTCTGGAGTCCAAATCATCGTCCCCATCGAAAATCCCCTTGCTAATCAACTCAGTCAGGGCGGCGACCGACAGTTCAGCGGGGATGCCTATCCCTGACAGCACGCTGTAGGGGATGGTTGTCACTGTGTCCCACCTCATCCCACTCCTCAGCTTTGTGCCTTCGGGCATTTTTTTGATGAGAGGAGTGAAAGACCTAGGTGATTTGGGGTCTATCTTATCATCAATATCTCGCTGATCCTCATGGGGTTCCTTCAATGTTTCGCTCCCTTGCTGAGAAGTTAGGGAATCAATCTCAAAGACCCCCAATGGGTATGATGTTGTGATTTTCTCTTAGAGAACCAATGCGCCAAGTGTAGGGTGAAGAGGCCCCCTGCCCGACCCCTTGCTCAGTCAATCCCCTGAACTCTCAGGGTAATCAATGCTGGCAGGAGCATACTGTCAAATACGTGAGCTGATCCTGGTATATGTAAGGGACGCTGGACCCGGTTTCCAGCAGGTGCAGCTCCCCACCAATAGATGGAGCCCCCCTAGGTGCTACCGGTGTCTGCTCAATCCTAGGGATTGCAAACGACACATCAGTGGCGATCTGCCATTCTTTCTTCTCCTCAATGAACCGAGCTGCCAGTAGAGGTTTTGTTCCCATCAGTGTCAGCCTTGCAAATTGTGCTTGCCCCAACACCTCTGGGGCCTTGCCTTCTGCAATTTGTTTGAGCGTGAAGTACTTCGGCTCATAAGCCGTGTTCAATATCTTGAGCTTCTCTGCCTGGGCTTCAACCACCGCGATTTCCTGCCCAAGTTCACTCCTTGCGGATTTCTCTGCTGGTTCCTTTTCAGCCTGACTTCTATTGTTCCCTTTCTTATTCGGGTTCATGGAGGTCTTCCAATTTTTAGATCTCAAATCGCATAGTGCATCCTTGGAATCAGCTTGTGTTATGTCCTTGTCCCTAATCCCTTGTTCGCTTGCCCTCTTCTTCTTATTGCATCTGAATGCTGCATACTCAGAGAACTCCTTTGCTTTGACCAAGAGGTCAAACTGGTTTGGAGAGGTCAAGATGCCTAAAGTTGTGTTTTTTTTTTTTTTTTTTTGCGTTCTTTCCATGTGCTTCAAGCAAGCTGCATGGATGTCAAAGAGGTGTTCTTGGTCTGCCTGCGCCTGCTCAATGAACTCTCTCAGCCATTGGAGGGATCTCCTAGCTGGATCGTCCTCATCGCTACTAGGAGCTGAGGTTCCTGTGGTCTCAGGAGACTTACCGTTGTGTCCCTGATCTCCTTCCGTTGGGTCTTCTTGCTGCCCCTCTTTGGGGGAGTGCAATAGCCCTTCGTTGTTACCATTCTCTATCCCTCTTCTCTTTTTAGTATCCGGTTCGCCTCCCTCTTTGTTCCTTCCTTCTTCCATCGTTCTCTTATTCTTTGTTTGTTTCTAGGCTGATTCCTCCCTGATGATGATGAGATGTTGGATTCTAGTCTGAAACCTCTCTGTTCCCTTTTTTTTCTTCTTCTTCCACCTGTTCCCGTACCAGATCCAAGTCCCATATCAGGTTCTCTATTGCCCATTATTCCAAAATGACACGGGAGTCATTGATCGGGAATGCTCTGATCTTTGTTGGGTTGCCTATCTCTTTCCCTGTGGCCTTCTTTTGCCACCTGCTGTCTGCAGGAGGGAAGATGTCAGGTTTCTTCGCCGTTGGTTCCTTATATGTGAAATGCCAAACTCACTCCGGTTCCCCCAGGTTGTCGTCAAAGCCCACCCATTGTAGGTGGGGTCAACTATGTACCATGTCCCCGACACATCCTCTACCTCGACCAGCATGTTGGGATGCAACTTCTCCTTCTGATTCTTTGGAAACTCGTTGCACGCGGGATCGTACCCCACATGGCCCCTTTCTCTGCATTTGAAGCAGATAGGGGATGTTTTGGTGGAGACTGTGATTTCCTGTACCCTGTCTTGGATTTGGAATTCCCATATTTGAGGGAAGACCGGTGGATCGTCGGCCTTCACTTCCAAGACGACAGTCATCATTCCCACATGAAGGGACAAGAAGTCCGGCATTGGTAAGATCTATTTGATGATTTTATTTGTCGGATACTGTCTTTCCAATCTGTCCACCACTAGCCCTTGATAGCCTGGCTGGATTCTGCCAAACTGGACGCAAAATTGTTCTTTTAGCAAGGTCTGTGTGTATGAGATTGAGGAGGAGGGGTTGGGTCTTGCGTTTGTTTGTTTCTTTCACTGTGTGATCGTGCAAATTAACCCATTGCAGTTCCTCAATTTCATTTCTGCTGCGATCCTTGCATGATCCTCCGAGTTGAAGATCACCATCACTGCTCTGCGACCCAGGTTCATCAGTTAGAAGGATTCGGTTGAAGATTTCAATTTGGCTTCTTTTCTAATTGTTTCAGTTATCCACTTCCTTTTCTCTGTTGGCATCAGGTCTGCTCCATTCCTTGCGAAGTTGAAAACCACTGTGTGTTTCTCATGAAATTCGTCAAGTTCAACTACTTCGCCGTCTGGATATTTCCAGATAATGGTTTCTTTTGCATTCCCTTCCGTGTTCGGTTGCTTCTTGATCACTCTTTCTCCTTGAACTTTGTTTCTTTCAATGATAAACTTCAAGGCTTCATTGTCAATGATGTATTGGTTATCTGTTCGGGATTAACTAGAGGGTCGTGGCGTGGCGGCTTGTATGCGAGGGGTTGGATTCACGGGCGAGAGGGGTTGCCGATATTAAGGGGGGGGGGGGAAGGGGAGCTGGGGGGGGAGAGGTGAAGGGGTCCAAATTACAGGGAACCAGGAAATCGGTTGGGAGAGGTGAGAAGGAGTTGCTAGCCGGGGGGAGATAGGTTGTAGTTGCAGGTGAATGAGGGAGATAGATCAGGGTGGGGAGACGGGGCTGTATCATATGTGGGTGGGGAGAGATCCTTCGGGGGCCCCAAACCTTTTCTTTTTTTTTTTTTTTTTTTTTTGGACGAACAACCCGATCGGATGCTAGGTGTGCTGATAAGAGCAGACACATCTAGCACCGTCGGGGAGGCTCCATCTATTGGTGGGGAGCAACACCTGCTGGAAATCGGGTCCAGCGTCCCTTGGATACATCTTTGTGGTACAGTGTTTGTTGGGCATATGGCCATTATAGTTGTCGTTCCCGAGCTTCCTTCTCTCCCCCGGGGCTGCCTATGTTACCCTTCCAATTCGCAAAGCTCTTACTTCCCACTGGCCTAGCCCCACCCAGGATAGTGTCCGCCGTGCTTCAACATCTACAGTCGTCATACTGGTAATGGCTAAACTCCTACCCTTGGTGTCTGCAACCCCCCTTAATTTAAGAAAAAGTCTGAAATTGGCAGTTAGGAGAAACCACAGCCTGCTGCAGGTCCCTCCTACAGAGCAGTCAGTCAGCAAAAATGACAGCAAGCGGCAGGGCCTTACCAGAGGCTGAATAGATGGTCAACAAAAACCACGGCCCACAGCAGGTCCTCCCCGCAGAGGAGGGAATTTGACAGGCTGGCCTATACTTCTGCAAGAAAGCTCGCCGACATGGCAGCGTGCCGGTAATGGCTAAACTCCTACCCTTGGTGTCTGCAACCCCCCTTAATTTAAGAAAAAAAAGTCTGAAATTGGCAGTTAGGAGAAACCACAGCCTGCTGCAGGTCCCTCCCACAGAGCAGTCAGTCAGCAAAAATGACAACAAGCTGCTGGGCCTTCCCAGAGGCCGAATAGATGGTCAACAAAAACCACGGCCCACAGCAGGTCCTCCCCACAGAGGAGGGAATTTGACAGGCTGGCCTATACTTCTGCAAGAAAAGCTCGCCGACATGGCAGCGTCATGAAAGTGACAGTATCCTCCGGCCCAGCGGCTTTTGGCAGGGGCTGAGCACAAGCTGGGGCTGAGTACAGACACTGAGATGTGGTCCTCCTGTCGCTGCTCTCCCGGCAAACAGCCGTCCGTTGTGTCCCCCCAGAGCATTTTCGCGTGATGCTGCCGTGTCCACAAGGAAGAGGCGCGCCTCCTTTATCAGTGCATCTTGTCACTGCCCGTATCCACATGATGAATGGCAGGGAGGGGTCAGGGAAGCAGGGGGGCAGGGCATATGGCGGGGGGGGCAGGAGGGGAAGAGGGGGGAGATTGGATCGGGGGGGTTCGGGAGGGCGATAGAGGGGGGGGGGACGGTGTACTGTCCGTGACAAGGACAAAGTTAGTCTGGAGGTAGGGGACTAAAAAGCAGTGGAAGGGTCTCCGTTCCCAGGCTCGTTCAGTGGCCCGCCATGGTTTCCACTGGATGTCAAGGGTGACGTTTAGGTCAGAGAATCTCTTGTGCGGGTCTTGCCACAGCTGGCAGTAGGAGTCAATCATRGTTTGTCTGGCGACRGGGKCCTTCTCCTCCCGGCAGGCCCTTTTCATGTCTTGCCARGCTTCRTGCGTYSGGGCSCTGATCTCTTCCTCGATAACYTGYTGTGCTTGAGRYAACCCGAATTGGTGRTCTTTCCTTTCGAAGGCGCACCTGGCTCTCCATGTGACCATCAGCACCTGCAGGCGCATGTAGGTGAAGAGGTTGGAGGCGAAAGGGGACCAGCGCGCCGGCAGCAGATGGTTCTTTCCTAGGAGGAGCAGACCCAGGTCCCATGGTATATGGTGACCTGTGAGGGAGTGGAGGGCAGCATCCCACCACTGCCATATCTGGGTAGCCATCCGGCATGCCAGCAGGCAGTGTTCCAATGTTGCCCTCGCCGGCGGATTTGTGCCGCCACAGTAGGCACAGATGGGGGACAACAACCCTTTCTGTTCCAGCTGTGTTCGTGACACGAGCCAGTCCGGGGTAGGGAGACTACGGTGTAGAATCTGCCATTGCAGGGATCTGTGGTTGGTCGGCATGATCTTGGAATATTTAGACCAGGAAAGATCATGCAGCACTTGTGCATCGATCGGGGAGTCCCGACCCCATCTTTGACACAATGCAGAGTCAATGGGCAGGACCGTGCGCGAGGCTCGATCGCCTCCTCTGACTGTGTATTCCCAGAGTCTCATGGGTTTATGGCCCGACCATTCCCATTCATCCCAGTCAAATGGCAGCCTGGCCACCGGCGTGGCCGACTCATACACACTATAGCCTTCTTTCGTGTCCCCCACAACCCTCGCATGCATCAACCCCACCCAGTTCTCGGTGGCATCCAGGTCTTCATCCCTGGTGAGTTTGGTGAACCTGGCGGCCGGCAGGTGCGGCACGTAGGCTTGCAATCCGCACCGGCCATCCACATTGTCGCACACTTTGTATGTGACCGGCGGCCGGGGCAGGTCCACAAACCTGATCACCCAGTCGTTCGGTTGGACTGTGGGGACCATTTTCAGGGCCAGGCGCCAGGCCAAGGGGAGGGCTTCCTTAAGCTGGAGGGCCTTGGAATCCAAGGACTTGACGTGCTTCAATTTACGTTGCAGTTGATCGGTCGAGGCCCAATCTGCCGTTATCGGATCCCACAGATCCCCCACCGTGTAGACCCCCTTGGTCGCCCAGGCAAGCCAGGACGAGTTGGCCGTCAAGGCAAAGGGGTTGCCGTCCTTGTCGAGGATGTAGGGATTGCCAAACAGAGGCTGCCTCCAAATATCTTGCCATCTATTTCGGGGCCGCCTCTGTTTCGGACCCCTTTTCCTCCATAGTTTGAGCATGTTGGGCCAGAGGGGGTCGAGA